CCCTATACTCAAAACCCACAACCAACTAAGGTGTTGAGTGGTAAGAGCATAAATTTTCAAAGAGAAGTAGGAAAGACTTGCTTTGATTGTAGCAAAAGTCATATTATTTGGTTAAGTTCTTGTATATCTGCCCAAGAAGAAGAAAACTGAATGCTTTATCTCTCTTATTCTGTAGGGGAAGTTGGTCCTTTTTGACCAAAATTTTAAAAAGATTATCGATGAGTTCACTGGGATCTTTACCGAAACCGATTTGCATGCAATGCTTTAATTAATCTCTTTGTATCCAAAGAGCTTACTAATTTCTACTTTACCAGTGAGCTCAGCGGAGACATCATCATTCTTCTTTTCTGAGGAGAAAACCATATGGTCCATATGAAAACTTGCCTCCTCTATGGTGTTTGTCAATATCTATAAGTGTTTCCCTATCTTATGTAGCCATCCGAGGCATGAATAAGCAATATTTTTGAGGTGGGCATTGGATGTTAACATCACTATTCATGGTGACTAAATCTCAAAATTTCAGCGGTGTTGTGAACCTTGCTTTAACACATTCAAGTTTTGCTCTAAATTTGCTGTCATTTTATCCTAGAATTCTAGCTATCTTCTATGTTTTATTGTCTTATGCTTGTAGAGTTTTAAACAACTCTCATCTATCTGGATCCCGAACGTTTGAGTATTAATGAGAGTTGTGTCAGAAGAAAATAACTATTTTATTGAATTTTTTTTTGAAAAGTATCTCACTCATTAAAAAAACATTGATAAATTTGGAGAAAGAATGAAAGGTAATTCTCATTTAAGATACCAGAGATACTCATGAGACCCCCTTTTATCGTTAGTCAATTTGGTATTGATTCACATATCCCCTATATATTATTTGAGAAGCATTACAACATTCTTTGGTAGCCACGTGTCAGCATGAGAATGCTTCTCAAATTTACTAGAGAAAAATGTTGGTCCATATAAACATATAATATACTTTTTATTAGACTAAACATAAAACTATTATTAATGCTATTCATTATTTCCTTAAATAAAATTTACGGAATTACCTAATATGGTTACAATATATATATGACAATTAATGATTTGAATATGAAGCTTTGATAAAAAAAAATTATAGCATCTACTATTTTTGTTAAATTTAATTATAAAAATAAATTAAACAATAACATTAACTATATAACAAAAAATTAGATTTTTATATATGTTACATTTAAAATTTTTTAAAACGACTATAAGTTAATAAAACATTGAAAAATTTCAATTATAATATTTTTGATTAATAGTTTAAATCTCCTATATGTTGGAGCATTATAACATTTTTTGGTAGCCACGTGTCACAATGAGAATAATTTTCATAACTCTTAGAGAAATATGTTGGTCCAACTAAACATACGTTTATTTTTATTATACCAACTATCATATTTAATTAGTAGTGTACAAAAGAATATTTTTTATTCTTTCCTTAAATAAAAGCTACGAAATTACCTAATATGATTAACATATATATCACAATTAATGTTTATGAATAATAAATATTTGATAACAATTTTTTATACTCTTTATGTTTTATTTAATTTATATTATTAAAAGAAATTAAAAAATCACATTAATTATATAATAAAAAAATTTATATTTGTTCTTATACGTTATATTTTATTTTTTTTTAAAACGACCATAAATTACTTAAATGGTAAAAATCTCACACTGAAATTTTGTGATCAATGGTAACGATTTTAGTTCAGCCAATCGTTTTTCTAATGGGTCTTAAACAGTTCATAATGATTAACTAAATGGATCACCCATAATAGAGTGTGTTTTGTTTAAAATTTTTGCATACCCAAAATCAATATGAACCATCATCCCTTTCGTTTTAATTTTTGGTATAATAAAAAAATATATGGTTGGACAAAAAAAAACTAAACCCAAATAACCGAACCAAATCTAACCCAAAAATGAATACAAATTTTTAAGCAAAATTGGTTAGATATCCAAGCGAATTCGAAATTTTGGTATCTGGATAATCAAAACTGAATCGAAAAATTTTGGGTATCCGAGTGTACTCGAACCAGATTTATATTCTTAAATATATTAATTATTTTTAAATTTAACATCTAAGAATATACAAAACACATGAGATGTTTTAAAAAATTCTGAAATACTTAGAAATATGTAAAATAGTTAAATGCAAATTTTTAAAATAGCCAAACGATACTCTAAATACCAAAAATATTTGAAATATTTATTGATTTTTTGTCCAAATATTTATGATAAATCAATTTTATGTTAACTTTAAGTATTTTTGTCATTCATTTTTCAAATTTATGTTATATATTATTTTTACTTTTAGGTTTTGAAAAATTTAAAGTATATATGAATTTTAATCTTTTTTAAAAAATTATAAATGGGTTATGCGAACTTAAACCCAATCTGAACCTGTAAAAATTCAAACCAAACCGCAATGATCTAAACCAAACATAATCTAACCGAACAAAATAGTACCCAAGTGTCCATATTGATAGCAAAATATATATTTAAATACAACATATTTTTAAAAAGCTCACTCCGCGCATGGCGCGGGTTATCATCTAGTCTTATATATTAAAACAGAAGTCATGACTTGAATTCATGTGTGATTTTTTTTTAAAATAGACTATTACTAAAAAGTCATATTACATTAACTCCCCTAATAATCTTATCATTATTATACCTTATGAAAAATTATATCTATAATAACAAAGATACGCTTAACAATTTTGTTTTGGTAAATTACCACACACCTTCCAACTTAGTCACGCAAAATATGTCAATAGTTATAAGTTTAGGAATCTTCTATTATTTATAAGGAAATATGTCAATAATAGTCAAATACATCCACAATATATTAACAAAAAATCACAAATTCGTAATATGGAATATTTGTATACCCTAACAAAATTTACACGCTATATATACTAGATAAATTTATTTCGATGTAAATTTGCGCAAATATATTGTTTAGAAAAATAAATTGTTTAAAAAATTCCTTTTTAATAAAATTATGTATAATATTAATTTATGAAGCTATAAGTTTAGTTTTTAGCAAAAATTTCTTCTAAGTTTATATTAACTTTTCAAATTAAAGTATACTAATATTTAATCAATCTCTATTTATATTAATTTGTCTAAAAATGAAATACCAATCTAACAAACAATAAAATATAGAAAAAGAAACAAACACATGTTTGAAAAACATTTACTATACATATCGTAAATATTTGATTACTATAATATATATCAATTTACAAGTAAAAACAAAATGTTAATATAACTAATTATAAAAGAAAACAAACACCCGCGCAGTTGCGCGGATCAAAATCTAGTAATTATTAAAATTAAATATTTAATTAGATGAGTGAATTAGACTAAATCTATCAATCCGCTTATATCCACAGCATTCCTAAATGGGGCAGCTCTCCAGATTCCTTGAGCGAAGTTGCCAGGCTGCTGATAAAGTAGATAAACTTTGTTACATTGGGGAGCAGCCTTTATGGCTGAACCTAACTACTCTTGAATGCATTAATATAACTTGTGTTTAAAAAAAAAAATACTATTAAAGGGTTGAGATACTCAAATTAATATATTTGGCAATGAAGTTGCTTTTAGTAGATAACTTGTAAGAATCTCACATGATACTCAAATGCCAAATAAATATCTTGGATGGAAGTTTAAGAAATTGTTCTCATGGATGGAAGTCCATCCAAGTGGGTAGAAATTTTCTCCGTAAAGGATTGATATCTCAGGTTGGGAATGGCTATAATACAAGGGTTTGGGAAGATCAATGGCTTCAAGAATCTCCACCAAAGAAATTAAACTCTGTGTTTCCAACCAAATATGAAAGTAGCAGAGGTCATTAATCAGGACACCATGGAGTGGGATGAAGATAAGTTGATAGAGTTCTTTCTTCCAGAAGATATTGCTGCTATTCGAAAAATAAGGTTATCGCGATTCGCGATATAATAATCAAGATGTATTGGTATGGCTGTTTACTTCAGATATGAATTATATGGTTAAGTCTGGGTATTGGACAGCAACCCATCTTCTGGATGATCTTGACATTATACATCCCCCTCTAGGCTCGGTGCTGTTGAAGAAAAAGCTATGGAGTATGGATATTCTTCCTAAAATTCAACATTTTCTATGGAGGGCTCTTTCAGGAGCATTACCAACATACACACGACTGTGCTCCCGAGGTATCAATGTTGATCCAACGTGCCAATTCTGTTGCTTGGAGGAAGAAACTATCAATCATGTCCTCTTCTTATGTCCTCACGCCTTTGCTATATGGCGATGCTCTGGTCTCCCGGTCCATAACCTACAATCTCAAGAACTCGAAGTTAATATTACAGCTATATTTGCCTTGATGGAGCAAGTAGAAACGCCTGTAAAAGTTAGTAAGCTAGCGTTTTGGGTTATTTGGTTTATTTAGAAATGAAGAAATGAATTCTTGTTTAACAAAAGGAATGTCCATCCTATTGAGGATGGCCACCGCGCAATGATTGCTAATGACGAATGGTTATTAAACCGGAAAACCCCTATCGTTACAGCAACAAGAAGAGTTGCTACTTCTCAGTGGGAACCGCCTCCATCGGGTTCACTAAAATGTAACTTTGATTGTAGTTATCGCAAGGAAACTAGTTTAACTGGGATTGGATGGATTGTTAGGAATGATCAAGGTGTTTATCAAGGTTCAGGCATGGCTATAATACATAATGTATTATCTCCACTACAAGGTGAAGCTATTGCCTTTTTATGTGCAATGCAGCAGGTCTGGATTCATGGTTGGCATAAGGTTTGGTTTGAAGGGGATAGTAAAGAACTGGAGCGTATAATAAATACAGTAGTCCATAATAATGCTCAAATCGGTTCTGTTTTATATGATATTCATCACTGGATGCTGCTCCTTCAGAATGCTCGTTAGAATGTGTTAATTGAGAGAGGAACATGGCGGCTGATATGTTGTCAAAACGTAGTTTACAAGATTCTATTTCTTCTATGTTTTTCTCAATTCCCCCCAGAGTGGTTGATTACGTTCTTGTATTGGCCTTATACAGTTTAATTTTTAATAATAATGTGTTGCTTTAAAAAAAAAAAAAAAGGAGTTTAACGGTTGGAACTGCTCTTAGACCATAGTTATTATCCTCTTTTACAGAGGGTGGCCATTGATCCACCTTTGGAACATGACAAAGCTTTCCTCTGGTTTAAACTCTGGAGTGTGCCCACCTCCCTGTAATCGAAAACCACAACTCAATAAAACTTCCGATAAATTTTTCTGAGTAGGAAAAATAGAAGAAGAGGAAAGACTTACTTTAATAGTAGCAAATGTCATTTTATTTGAATAAGTCCTTGTGTACCTGCGACGTAAAGAGTCGATAGTAATATCATAGTGAGTTTAATAGAATGAATGAACAAGAGATATAACCAATTACAGAAATATGGGGTATATATACCCAGCGATTTGGTCGTTGATCATCCATGGCCTCCAATCATCAACGATGGAATAGTTGAGAGATCTTATCCAAGCTTGAGTTCCAAGGTAAGGCACTCCCATATCGTCATCACCACTGTTCACCAAAAACCGCACAAAAGTTTACGTAACGTTTTAAGTCTTGTAGGGTTACATAAGGAGATAATTTAAAAGGCTTTCAACTCTAACCTGAAGATGAGAGAAGGATAGCCACTGATACTGTTATTCTTATGGTAAGGGACGCTACTTACAATGTCATGATCGTAAGGTATATCCAGATTACATCGTATCCATTCCCCTATACTTTCCTACAATTACAAATCATAGACCGTCTCATATGTAAGACTAAACCAAAAATCTAAAAATACTTAAATCATATATATACCTCACTGATCTGAAGAGCTTTGCGTACGGTTTTGTCATTGGCCCAGTATGTAGATAACACATAGCGATACATCTGCAATAGCAAACTTGTACTTTATACACAATGAGTTTAACTGTGAACCGAGAGACAGATGGATCTATACTTACATAGCAATTTGGATTTTGAGTTTTGCACCATGGATAATGTATAGAATATGGGAATATTCTATTTGTACACTATACAATAACCACACAAAAAAAAAAGCTGAGTTTAGTGATGACCTTTAGAGTTGGGGGTTCACACAAATAAAAAATAATTTTTTTTTTATTTTCGTTTCTTTTTAAAAAAAAAAAAATTAATGTTGGACCAATCATATGTTGATACGTGGTGAATTCGGGGTCATCGGGATTCACCGCGATGAACTTTTGAGAGAGGGATTCATAGAAATTTGATTTTAATTTTTTTTTTTCTCGGTTTACATGTGAACTCCCCCATCAACCTTTGATGGGGTGCTCTTAACAAGGTCAGGGACGATATGAAAATAAATAATAGTATAATATGTGTACCTTATTATATTCTTCAACAAGTTTCAAGCACTCTGTGTTACTTAAATCAACGTTTACATATTCTCCTTTGCATACTCTTTTAAGCGACTACGTAAACAAAAACTAAAAAGTTAACTATTTTCATTGTGGGGACAAGAAACAAAAGCATGCCATGATGTTGTCATACCTCATAGAGCTCATCAGATATGAGAGCCATACCATAAGCATATGGAATGCGGTAGTTTACACCATTACCGTCTGTTACTGGGTTACCGAGGACGTAGCCCTGTAAAGATTGTTGGAAATGACGAAAAAGAAATCGGTTCTTTAGGCTTTGTGAAAACTTTAAATTTAATTTATTCACGTACATATTAATAAAATTTAAGGTATTTATATATCTTTTAAATCTATGTCACATACTAAAAACAAGTTATGGTATATATTATCCTATATAAGAAAGTTCGAAGAAAACCTGAAGATTTATTGAAGGATTGCAACACTGATAATTTCCTGCATCATCACGGTTTTTCTGTTAATAAGTTGATTGACAGGTGAATTTTTTTTAAGAAAGATATTTTGGACATTCATTAAAAAACTATTGGGATTGTGTAGACACTAATAGGGGTTTAAAGAGTGAGTTTAAGAAGACTATAAGTTTGTACATCGTTGATGAGACGGAAGTAATTTATAATTACTTGAATCAATCTACTAATTACCAACTAGTTTTGAGTTGTAAGTAAAAAAAAAAACTTAATATGATATTAGAACTCACGAACCTAACTATTACAAAGGTTTAGTAAGCGGACTACACTCTCTTATAATCCAGCCCAAAAGTGGTTGGTGTTCCCGAACCCAAGAATAATGGTTTGTGAGATTAATGGCTAGAATGATCATATTATCTTGAGGGTTACGGGATTCTGCAGAGATTAATGAGTCATATGCCATAATCCCTATAGGACGTGTATAATAAAATAAGCTCTCACATCAAAAAGTTCGATGAGATATAAATAATATATATGTTACTTGAAATAATTCACTAACTGTCATCTATACTATTATATCTATACTATATATAAGAAGTAATTTTGCTTAGTTGTCAACTTCTCCTTAATTTTAGGTAAATTTATTTATTTATCTTATTTAAATAATTTCATATAGAATTTATTATTTAATAAAAACAAATTTCTATCAAAATATTATACTTTTAGAAAATAAGATAATTCTTATGTATTATATTGTTATCTTTCAAATATATTTATTATCATAGAAATTAAAATTTAAGTTAAAATATTAATAGTTAAATATAAAGAAAGCAATGTTGATTTATCAACTTCTCCATGGTTTTATACTTTGCTTATTTATCATATTTTTATAATTTCATATATAATTTATTAAATAATAAAACAAATATATATAATAATACTAGATTTTTAAAATAAGATAATTCTTATGTATTAGATTGTTATCTTGAACATATATTTTCTATTAGAAAATTTAAGTGAATTATCTGATTTGTAATTTCTCCATGATTTAGATAATTTTGATTATTTGTCATATTATTAATAATTTCATATAAAATATATTATAAAATAAAAATGAATTTCTATTAAAAATTATATTTTGAGAAAATAAGATACTTCTTATGTATTATATTGTTATCTTGCGAATATATTTTTTATTACAAAAATAAAAAATTAAGATAGAAAATATTATAATTAAAATAAATTAAAGCAACACATTTGTAAAAATATATTTTTAAAAATATTTTGTTATGTGGGTGTTGTCATTTATAATTAATTTTAAAACATAAATCATAAATTATTATATTGGTTTGAATTAAGAAAATATAAACTAATAATAAATTGTACGAAAATTATGTCCACATGTGCGGGCAAAACACCTAGCAAAACTCATGTATACCTTTTGAGATTTCTTGCACGAGAGCGGGAACAACCATACCGGAATAAGAATCTCCTGCCACATAGAAAGGGTTTGAGGAAAACTCTTGATGCTTGCCTAGCCACTGCACAACAACAGCAATAAAAAAGGAGAAAGGCTTCTAAATGTCTATGCTCCAAGAGAAAATTTAAGTATGTCTATACCTTTTGAAGAAACTCATGGATCCGTTTGGCCTCTCCTGAATCACTCGGTATGTTACCAAGATTAGTTCTTGAGTAAGAGAAGCCAGTTCCAACAGGCTGATCCAAGAATATTATGCTAGAATTCTGAGGAACATTATCAAGGTTCAAGAATCGATCATTGGGTTTTTGTCATAGTCATATTTATTGTTGTTACCTTTGTCCAGGAGTATGTAGTAGAGACCAAAGAAGGTAGAGTTCCATGGTAAACATCAAGTTTCATAGTCAGAGGCCCTGTTTGATGAAAGCTTTAATCATCACAGACACAGCAGAACGAGATATAGAAAATCAAAGTTTTAGACTTCACCATTCTCAAAAAGAAGGCCAGAGATGGAAGAGCAGCCAGGACCTCCACTTAGCCAGAGAAGAAGAGGGTCTTCTTTAGGGTTCCTCTCAGACTTGATGAAGTAGTAGAACAACTGTACTTCCTCCTTCTCACCAACACCAATGTAACTTCATTCACAAGAAACACTAACCTATTAAGAGTCAACACTTATTTAACTAATCACAACAAGAAGAGAAAACAAACCCGGTTTCGAGCTCAAAGGGAAGAGGGCCTTCAAAACCAGGAAGAAATTTGATGATAGAGGCAGAATCAGCACTATGAATCAAGAAGACAAGTTGAAGAAACAAAAGCAGAGATTTCAGAACAGAGGAGGAAACGAAGTCTTTAGCCATTAGTTCTTTGTTTCAGAAAGTCAATGGCCTTGAAGGATTGGACAATGATTGGATCTATATAAAATAAAAAAGTCGCTACCCTCTCTTCATGTCTCAAAGCTTTGATTCATCACCGATCTTCAAATGGTATATAATTTATTAGTGTCAACAGAATAAAGAATTATTAGTTAATTGCCCTTGCGCTTGTCGTGAGCATAATAACAATTTTATTTTCAAACATAAAGCAAATTTCATCTTATAATATTATAATCTCAATATGTTTAGTGGAACGTCGTCGTCACACAAACAGAACCTCAATGATTACATGTAGATACCAAATCATATCCTTTTACAGAGCTTGTTTACAGAGGGTGGCCATTGATCAACCTTTGAAACATGATTAAGCTTTCCTCGGGTTTATACTCTGTTGTGTAGCCACCTCCCTATACTCAAAACCCACAACCCACAACCAACTAAGGTGTTGAGTGGTAAGAACATAAATTTTCAAAGAGAAGTAGGAAAGACTTGCTTTGATAGTATCAAAAGTCATATTATTTGGTTAAGTTCTTGTCTATCTGCCCAAGAAGAAGAAAACTGAATGCTTTATCTCTCTTTTTCTGTGGGGGAAAGTTGGTCCTTTTTGACCAAAATTTTAAAAAGATTATCGATGAGTTCACTGGGATCTTTACGAAACCGATTCGCATGCCATGCTTTAATTTATCTCTCGTATTCATCAAAGAGCTTACTAATTTCTAATTTACTAGTGAGCTCTCCGGAGACATCATCATCACCATTCTTCTTTTCTAGGAGAAAACCATAGGAAAACTTCCCTCCTCTATGGTGTTTGTCAATATCTATAAGACCATGATTAACCCGGGGTTCTTATAGTAGGGTTCTTAGCGGAAGTTAAAAAAATATTTTTTAATTTTTAACTAAAAATCTAAGAACCGATTCTTAAAGTTCTTATTTAAGAACCGAATTTTAGTTTTTTTAGTTAAAAGTTAAGAAACAGTTTCTTGACTTTCGTTAAGAACCCCCGAACCTAGGTTAATCATGCTCTAAGTGTTTCACTATCTTGTGTGGCGATCCGTTCGAGGCATGAATAAGCAATATTTTAAGGTGTGCATTGGATGTTAACATCACTATTCATGGTGACTAAATCTCAAAATTTCAGCGGTGTTGTGAACCTTGCTTTAACACATTCAAGTTTTGCTCCAAATTTGCCGTCATTTTACCCTAGAATTCTAGCTATCTTCTATGTTTTATTGTCTTATGCTTGTAGAGGGGTTAGCTGCCTAAAATCCCCTGTAAACTTACACACCCTACTTATTTTCCCCCAAACTTTTTAGCTCTTGACCAATCCACCCAAAAATAGAATTCTCTTCATATGTCCCCCTATTAGGTATTGATTCACATATAATTATCAAAATTAAAGATTTAATTAGATGAGTGAATTAGATTAAATCTATCAATCCGTTTATATCCACAGCATTCCTAAATGGGGCAGCTCTCCAGATTCCTTGAGCGAAGTTGCCAGGCTGATAAAGTAGATAGGGGAGCAAGCCTTTATGGCTGAACCTAACTACTCTTGAATGCATTAATATAAGTTGTGTTAAATACTATTAAAGGGTTGAGATACTCAAATTAATATATTTGCCAATGAAGTTGCTTTTAGTAGATAACTTGTAAGAATCTCACATGATACTCAAATGCCTCACATGATACTCAAATGCCAAATAAATATCTTCTTTATATGTTTTGATTTTAGAAAAGAAATGTAACTTAATTATCTAAATAAGATATTGTTATTTAATTTCTTCAGAAACCCAAATGGGGTTTAAAACGGTGGGGCTGCTCTTAGACCACAATTGTTTTCCTCTTTTACAGAGGTTGTCCATTGATCCACCTTTGGAACATGATAAAGCTTTCCTCTGGTTTATATTCCGGTGTATGCCCACCTCCCTGTAATCAAAAACCACAACTCAATAAAGCTCCCAATAAAATTGTTAGAGTTTGGAAAGAAAAAGAAGAGGAAAGACTTGCTTTAATAGTAGCAAATGTCATTTTATTTTCGTAAGTCCTTGTGTATCTGCCAAGTAAAAGAGTCAATAGTAAAATCATAGTGAGTTTAATAGAACAAATGAACAAGAGATACAACCAATTTAAACAAAGATGGGGTATTTATATATATACCCAGCTATTTGGTGGTTGATCATCCATGGCCTCCAATCATCAATGATGGAATAGTTGAGAGATCTTATCCAAGCTTGAGTTCCAAGGTAAGGCACTGACATATCATGATCACCACTGTTCACCAAACACCGCACAAAGTTCACATAACGTGTTGAATCTTGTAGGGAACTAAAAGTGATTATTAAAATCTTTTCATCTCTAACCTGAAGATGAGAGAACGATAGCCATTGATACTGTTATTCTTATGGTAAGGTACGCTACTTACAATGTCATGATTGTAAGGAATATCCCGGTAACATCGTACCCATTCCCCTATACTCCCCTACGAATCATGGATCGTCACAATCATCTATATATATAAGTCTATACCAAAAATCTTAGAGTAACTAATCATATATATACCTCATTGATTTGAAGAGCTTTGCGTACGGTTTTGTCATTGGCCCAGTATGTAGATAACACAAAGCGATAAGTCTGCAAATGCAAACTTGTAATTTATTGTCAATGGGTTAAACGATGAACAATGAGCAAGATAGATCTACGTACATAGCAATTTGGAGTTTCAGTTTCGCATATGGGATGCTGTATAAAAGATAGGGTTATTCTATCTGTACACTGTAAAATAACAACACGAGAAGGCTGATATAAGTAATGATATCTTTAACAAGGCAGTAACAATATTGTTGATTTTGGAGTTACTAACTCCCACGAGTAAGTATATCTTTTAGAATAGAAAAACCGCCTTTTAAGTTTCTTTTTGAAGGGAAAAAATATCGAATTTTTGAGAATTTACAAATACGAGTTTTTTTTTTTTTAACACAAATACGAGTCTAAAAAGTTTAAATTATTCATCCACATGGTACAAACTTTAAAATCTTGTTATTTTCTTCGTGTTTGATTTCCATTTGTTCACAACAAATATCAACAAAATAGAGTGGTGTACCTTTTTATATTCTTCAAGGAGTTTCAAGCACTCTGTGTTACGTGGATCAACATTTGTATATTCTTCTTTGCATACTCTTTTCAGCGACTACAAAAAAAAAAAAGATGAAATTATTTTTGAACTGCTTGTTAACCATTTTCATTGTGGGGACAAGAAACAAAAGCATGTCATGATGTTTGCATACCTCGTATAGCTCATCAGAGATTAGTGCCATACCATGAGCATATGGAATGCGGTAGTTATAATCAGTTTTAGGTTCTGTTACTGGGTTACCGAGCATGTAGCCCTATAAAGATTGTTGGCAAGGACCCAAAGTATCAGATTTTTAGGTTTTGTAATAAATTTGTATTAAACGTAATTTTTGAGTTTTAATGGCTTACTGAATTTTTTTTACAGTTTAATTACATACATATTAAAGTTTTAAAGGTGTTTTATATATCTTTTAAGCCTAAGCTCTGTTCAAATGCTTTATTTGCACATACTAAAAACAATCTTATATAAGAAACAAAAAATAATACTGAAAAACCTGAAGATTTATTGGAGGACTGCAACACTCATAATTTCCTGCACAATCATATGCTTCTTATGTTACAAGGATACTAGAAAAGGGTGTGTGGGTTCATACAATAGAACCATGCATATACCTTTTGAGATTTCTTGAACGAGAGCTGGAACAATCATACCAGCATAAGAATCTCCTCCAACATAGAAAGGGTTTGAGGAAAACTCTTGATGCTTTCCTAGCCACTGCACAACAACAACAACAATAGAAAATGAAAATAAAAAATGCTCATAAATGTCTACGCACAGTTTGTCATTAATTTACCTTTTGAAGAAACTCATGGATCCGTTTGGGCTCTCCTGAATCACTTGGTTTGTTACCAAGGTGAGTTCTTGAGTAGGAGAAGCCAGTTCCAACAGGCTGATCCAAGAATATTATGCTTGAAATCTGGAACATGATCAAGGTTCACGAATTGATCACTGGGTTCTTGTCCTCGTCATATGAATAAACACAATTGGTGTTCTTACCTTTGTCCATGAGTATGTAGTAGAGACCAAAGCAGGTAGAGTTCCATTGTAACCATCAAGTTTCATAGTCAGAGGCCCTGTTGATGAAGCTTTAATCATCAGAGGCGCAAACAAAACGAGACTAAGAAGAAGACCAACGTTTTAGACTTCACCATTCTCAAAAAGAAGGCCAGAGATGGAAGAGCAGCCAGGACCTCCACTTAGCCAAAGAAGAAGAGGGTCTTCCTCAGGGTTCCTCTCAGACTTGATGAAGTAGTAGAACAATTGCACTTCCTCCTTCTCACCAACACCAATGTAACTTCATTCACAAGAAACACTAACCTATTTAGATTTCAACACGGATTAAACTAGTCACAGCAAGAAGAGAAAACAAACCCGGTTTCAAGCTCAAAGGGAAGAGGGCCTTCAAAACCAGGAAGAAACTTGATGATAGTGGCAGAATCAGAACTATGAATCAAGAAGACAAGTTGAAGAAACAGAAGCAGAAATTTCAGAATAGAGGAGGAAACGAAATCTGTAGCCATTAGTTATTTTAGTCTTTCAGAAAGTAAATGGCCTTGAATGATTGGACAATGAGTGGATTTATAAACTAAAAACCAAGAAAAAAGTTCATACCTACTCTTTATCTATCAAAGCTTTGATTCGTCGACGATCTTCAAATGGTATATAATTTATTAGTGTCAACAGAATACATAATTATTTGCTAATTGTCCTTGCGCTTATCGTGAGCATATAAACATTTCTTTTTCGAATATAAAGTAATTTTTTTCATCTTTTAATATTATAATCTCAATATGTTTAGTGGCCCGTCGTTGTCACACAAACAGAACTCAATGGTACAAGTAGATACCAAATCATATGCTTTTTACAGCGCTTGTTTACAGAGGTCGACCACTGATCTACCTTTGAAACATGATAAAGCTTTCTTCTGGTTTATAATACTCTGCTGTGTGGCCACCTCCCTGTAATGAAAAACCCACAGCCAACTAAGGTTTTTTTCTTTTTTTCTTTTTTTGAAACACAATTTCATTAATAATTTAAAGAGAGTTTGTTGGGGGCATTAATGGCTAGTTCAACAGACAAAACCTGTTTTGCTAGACCATCAGCCACAAAATTCCTTTTCATGAGGAATCCACACTAAACAGATAGACTCAGAAGATAGAGATAGAGACAAGCTTGCTCGTTGAGGACTTTTACAAGTGTAGCTGAATCTGATTTACAGCGAAAACGAGTCAGACCTAATTCTCGACATTTCAGTATTGCTTCTCGCACAGCGTGACCTTCTGCTAAGGTTAAAACCGCAATAAAAAAAACGTGAGTGGTATAAGAACATATATTTTCAAAGAGAAGTAGGAAAAACTTGCTTTGATAGTAGCAAAAGTCATATTATTTGCATATCTGCCAAGAAGAAGCAAATGGAATGCTTTAGCGCTCTTATTATGTTATAAAAGTTGGTCCTTTTGACCAATTTTTTAAAGATAATCGGTGAATTCATAAGGATTTTTATGGAAATCAATTTACATGCAATGATTTATTTCTTATTTCAAAGGGCAAACTAATTTTTCATGACATCACCATTCTTCTTTTCCGAGGAGCAAACCATATCACTTGCCTCCTCTATGTTTCTCCTCCAATATTTAAGTGTAGGTGTTTGTCAATATCTATAAGCGTTTTCCTATCTTCTGTAATGATCCGTTCGAGGCATGAATATGCAATTTTTTTGGGGTGTGCATTGGATGTTAATATCACTATCCAAGGTAACTAAATCTCAAGATTTCAGCGGTGTCGTGAACCTTGCTTCGACACATTCAAGTTTTGCTCTAAATTTGCTGTCTTACGCTTGTAGAGTTTTAAGCACTCTCGTTCTATCTGTACTGAAAGTTGTGTTAGTAAAAAGAACTATTCCATTGAAATTTTCTTGAAAAGTATCTCACTTGTTAAAACATGAAAAATTCTTGATTTCATCCCCTAGTCAACCATCACAACCAATAAGATTTCATTGTTCCATATTCAATATCTTTTAAGAAAAGAAACAAAATATTATTGAGTTATATTATGTTTTTAAAACTAAAACATAAAAATAAATAAATAATAATAGTAGTTGCAAAGAATAAACTTTATTAAAAAATAATAATTTTAATACCGTCAGCAAAACACTAAACCCTAAACTCTAAATCCTAAATCTTATACCCTTGGATAAATTCTCAACTTTGGATTAATCTTAAACCCTAGGATTTATGATTAATCCAAGGGTTTAGGATTTAGGGTTTAAGGTTTTGTTGACGGTATTATTTTTTTAAAAAAAATCAAGGATTTATCCAATGGTTTAGGATTTACAGAAGGGTTTTAAGATTTAAGATTTATTTTTATCTTTAAATTTTAAAAACATAATATAACTCGACAATATATATTTTTGTCTTTTTTTAGAAAATACGAAATCTAAAATAACGTAATACTATTGGTTAATAAACTTATAGGTTCACCCTAGAATTTAAGAAAGTGAACCTAAGAATTACTTAAAACAATTGATAAATTTGAGAGAGAGAATGAAATGGAATTCTCATTTAAGATTCCATAAATAGTAAATACTCATGAAAACCCTTATGTCATTATTCAATTTGTGATTAACTCAAATAATTATGAAAATTATATATTTAATTATGAATGAAGTAGATTAAATTATAAAACTATTAAAGGGTTGAGATACTCATATTAATATATTTGCCAATGAAGTTGTTTTTAGTAGATAACTTTTAAGAATCTTACCTGATACTCAAATGCCAAATAAATATCTTTTTATATACTTTGATTTAGAAAAGAAATGTAACTTAATTATCTAAATAAAATATTGTTATTTAATTTCTTCAGAAACCCAAATGGGGTTTAAAACGGTGGGGCTGCTCTTAGACCACAATTGTTTTCCTCTTTTACAGAGGCTGTCCATTGATCCACCTTTGGAACATGATAAAGCTTTCCTCTGGTTTATATTCCGGTGTATGCCCACCTCCCTGTAATCAAAAACCACAACTCAATAAAGTTTCCAATAAAATTGTTTAGTTTGGAAAAAGAAGAAGAGGAAAGACTTGCTTTAATAGTAGCAAATGTCATTTTATTTTCGTAAGTCCTTGTGTATCTGCCAAGTAAAGAGTCAATAGTAAAATCATAGTGAGTTTAATAGAACAAATGAACAAGAGATACAACCAATTTAAAGAAAGATGGGGTATTTATATATATACCCAGCTATTTGGTCGTTGATCATCCATGGCCTCCAATCATCAATGATGGAATAGTTGAGAGATCTTATCCAAGCTTCAGTTCCAAGGTAAGGCACTGCCATATCATGATCACCACTGTTCACCAAACACCGCACAAAGTTCACATAACGTGTTGAATCTTTGTAGGGAACTAAAAGTGATTATTAAAATCCTTTCATCTCTAACCTGAAGATGAGAGAACGATAGCCATTGATACTGTTATTCTTATGGTAAGGTACGCTACTTACAATGTCATGACTGTAAGGAATATCCCGGTAACATCGTACCCATTCCCCTATACTCCCCTACGAATCATGGATCGTCACAATCATCTATATATATAAGTCTATACCAAAATCTTAAAGTAAATAACCATATATATAAATACCTCATTGATCTGAAGAGCTTTGCGTACGGTTTTGTCATTGGCCCAGTATGTAGATAACACATAGCGATAAATCTGCAAATGCAAACTTGTATTTTATTGTCAGTGGGTTAAACGGTGAACAATGAGCAAGATAGATCTACGTACATAGCAATTTGGAGTTTCAGTTTCGCATATGGGATGCTGTATAATATATAGGGTTATTCTATCTGTACACTGTAAACAGTGTAAAGTAACCCACACAAGAAGACTGAAGTTAGTAATGATATGTTATCGTTAACAAGGCAAAAACAATATCAACTAAATAGAGTATGCATGTACCTTTCTATATTCCTTAAGTTGTTTCAAACACTCTGTGTTACGTGAATCAACATTTGCATATTCTCCTTTGCATACTCTTTTAAGCGACTACGTTAGCAAAACAACAAAGTATTTTTTTGAACTGGTTGTTAGCTACTTTGACTGTGGGGACAAGAAACAAAAGCATGTCATGATGTTTGCATACCTCGTAGAGCTCATCAGAGATGAGAGCCATACCATGAGCATATGGAATGCGGTAGTTAGAATTAGTTTTAGGTTCTGTTAATGGGTTACCGAGCAGGTAGCCCTATAAGGATTGTTGGCAAGGCAGAAACAATTATCAGCTTTTAGGCTTTTGTGAAAGTTTGTATTAAACGTATATTCGATGTGTTAATCATTTTTATAACAGTTCTGTCACATACATACATATTAAAGTTTTTAAAGGTTTTGACTCGAAGGTCCATTCATCCCATATGACGACATTTAAATCATGTAAACTAACTCTAATTTAAAGAATAAGATCTCTCACAACGGGAACTGAACATGACTCCACACTAGTTATGTGATCCATTTGCACATACTAAAAAAAAAAATCTACTACTCCCTCTGTTTCAAAACAATTTTGTTTTAAAAAATATATATTTCACATTTTCAATGCATATAACAATAGTGAATCGTAAATTTCGAACACATTAATTATGTTTACTGAATTTATTGACTAAAAAGTATGGAAAATAGCTAATCAGAAATAAATAATGTATTTATTAACATGTTTTTTAATGTGTTAAAAACTCTAATGCATATATCATTTTGGAACATGAGGAGTACTGAAGACAAGAATATACTGAATAACCTGAAGATTTATTGGAGGATTGCAACATTGATAATTTCCTGCATTATCATGTTTCTTCTGTTATAAAGTTGATTGAGAGATAAAATTTAAGACAAGGATATTAGACAAGGGCTTGAGGGTTCATATAAAAGAACAATGCATACCTTTTGAGATTTCTTGAACAAGAGCTGGAACAACCATACCGGAATAAGAATCTCCTGCAACATAGAAAGGGTTGGAGGAAAACTCTTGATGCTTTCCTAGCCACTGCACAGAAACAACAACACAATAAATAAATAAAAAAAGGCTCCTCAATTTCTATGCACAAAGAACCGCAGCTCTTAGAGACAGTTATGTTTTCTCATTTGTTTACCTTTTGAAGAAATTCATGGATCCGTTTAGCCTCTCCTGTATCGCTCGGTTTGTAACCAAGGCGAGTTCTTGAGTAGGAGAAGCCAGTTCCAACAGGTTGATCCAAGAATATTATGCTCGAAGTCTGAGGAATATGATCAAGAATTGATTATTAAGCTTTTGTCATCATCATATGAATAAACACACTTGGTGTTGTTGTTACCTTTGTCCATGAGTATGTAGTAGAGACCAAAGAAGGCAGAGTTCCGTTGTAAGGATCAAGCTTCATAGTCAAAGGCCCTGTTGATGAATTGCATCGAGCTTTAATTATCAGAACTGAGTTAAAGAAATTTAAAGTTTTTAGATGTCACCATTCTCAAAAAGAAGACCAGAGATGGAAGAGCAGCCAGGTCCTCCACTTAGCCAGATAAGAAGAGGGTCTTCCTCAGGGTTCCTCTCAGACTTGATGAAGTAGTAGAACAATTGCACTTCCTCTTTCTCACCAATACCAATGTAACTTCATTCACAAGAAACAGTAACCTACTATAAAAGTCAACACAGATCAAATTAAGCACAACAAGAAGAGAAAAAAAACAAACCCGGTTTCAAGCTCAAAGGGAAGAGGGCCTTCAAAACCAGGAAGAAACTTGACGATAGAGGCAGAACCAGCATCATGAATCAAAAAGACTAGTTGAAGAAGCAGAAGCAGATATTTCAGAACAGAGGAGGAAACGAAGTCTTTAGCCATTGGTTCTTTAGTTTCAGTATGTCAATGGCCTTGAAGGATTGGACAATTATTGGATCTATATATATACTAAAACCAAAACAAAAAAGTTGCTACCCACTCTTCATCTCTCAAAGCTTTGATTCATCACCGATCTTCAAATGGTATATAATTTAATAGTGTCAACATAATACATAATTATTTGTTAATTGCCCTTGCGCTTGTCGTGAGCATAATAACAATTTGATTTTCAAACATAAAGCAAATTTCATCTTATAATATTATAATCTCAATATGTTTAGTGGCACGTCGTTATCACACAAACAGAACTTCAATGGTTACAGGTAGAAACCAAATCATGTGCTTATACAGGGCTTGTTTACAGAGGTTGACCATTGATCCACCTTTGAAACATGATAAAGCTTTCCTCTGGTTTATACTCTGCTGTGTGCCCACCTCCCTATACTCAAAAAGAAAACCCACAAGTTAACTCAGTTAAAACCACAGTAAAGAAGATAATTTTAGAAAATATTTGTAAAAGAGAAGTAGGGAAGACTTGCTTTGATAGTAGCAAACGTCATTTTATTTGCATAAGTTGTTGTAAAACTGCCAAGAAGAAGAAGCAAGGTTAATCTCATGTTGACTCTCTAATAAAGCACCAATAAACAAGAATATACCCAGCGTGTTGATTGTTGATCATCCATGGCCTCCAATCCTCAGTTACAGAATAGTTGAGAGATCTTATCCAAGCTTGAGTTCCAAGGTAAGGTATTGCTAGATCATGATCACCACTGTTCACTCAAGAAAACTCACAAAGTTTACATAAAGTTTTGGAACTTGGTGGGGTATAAAAAGTTAAAACTATGACCTGAAGATGAGAGAACGATAGCCACTCATGCTGTTAGCCTTATGGTAACGTACACTACTTATAATGTCTTTAATGTAAGGAATATCGAATTTACATCTTACCCATTTCCCTATACTCCCCTGCAATCATAGACCCCATCTTACACACTTTCTTTACCAAAAACCTTAAAATGAAAATATACCTTATAGATCTGAAGAGCTTTGCGTACGCTTTCGTCATTGGCCCAGTAGGTAGATAGCAAATACCTATAGATTTGCTGCAAAAGCAACCTTGTATATATTTTACTATGTTTCCACAATCGTTTAATGTTAAAAAAAGGATTAAGATATGTATTACTTACATAACAATCTGGAGTTTCAGTTTCGCATAATGGTTCTGATATTAGATATCGGTTCACTGTCTTTGTACACTACAAAGAAACCACAAGAGGTCTGAACTGACTGATGATCTTTTACTAAAACCATTCATGAGTGTGTGTACCTTTTTATATTCTTCAACGAGTTTCAAGCATTCTGTGTTTTCTGGATCAACATATACATATTTTCCTTTGCAGATTCTCTTCAGCGACTGCAAAAAGAAAAAAAAAAAGATTTGAACTGCATTGTTGAAAAACAAACGCAAAACTTTTGTGATTCATACCTCGTAGAGCTCATCAGAGATCAGTGCCATTTCATGAGCAAATGGAATGCGGCTGTTTGAATCAAATTCGAAGTCTGTTATCGGGTTACCGAGCAGATAACCCTGTTGTTGGTCAATGTATACCCAAGGACGAAAACTATCAGTTTTTAATCTCATACAAGAAAGCAACAAATACCACCAACCTGAAGATTTATTGGAGGCTTGCAGCATTGATAATTGCCTGCATCATCAGATAAATTATTGATTGAGAAAGGAGCTTGAGGATTGATATTACAAAACCATACATACCTTTAGAGATTTCTTGAACGACAGCAGGAACAACTTTACCGGAATAAGAATCCCCACCGACATAGAAAGGGTTAGGAATATACTCTTCATGCTTACCTAGCCACTGCACAAGAAGAAGAAGAAGAAGAAAAACAAAAATGATTACTTCAAATGTGGGAACCCTAGCACATTGACATTTCAAGAGACATTTATGTATCTCATTCATTAGTTTACCTTTTGAAGAAACTCATGGATCCGTTTGGCGTCTCCTGAATCACTCGGTGTATCAACAAGTTGAGTTGCAAAGGAGAAGCCAGTTCCAACAGGCTGATCCAAGAATATTATGCTCGAAGTCTGAGGAACCATGATATATAACTGATCAACTGGTTTTTGTGATGGTCATATAAATTTATCACTTGTTGTTACCTTAGTCCATGAATATGTAGTAGAGAGCAAGGAGGGTAGAGTTCCATTGTACACCTCAAACTTCATAGTAAGAGGCCCTGCTCATAATATACATATATAGAATTAATACGAGCACATGAGAAATGAGTTTAATTATCAATGTTTAAGATGTCACCATTCTCAAAAAGAAGACCATGGATGGAAGAGCAGCCAGGCCCTCCACTTAGCCAAAGAAGAAGAGGGTCTTCTTTAGGGTTCCTCTCAGACTTGATGAAGTAGTAGAACAACTGTACTTCCTCCTTCTCACCAACACCAATGTAACTTCATTCAACAAGTAGGAACAGTCAACACAGATTAAATCAACCACAACAAGAAGAGAAAACAAACCCGGTTTCGAGCTCAAAGGGAAGAGGGCCTTCAAAACCAGGAAGAAACTTGACGATAGATGCAGAACCAGCATCATGAATCAACAAGACAAGTTGAAGAAGCAGAAGCAGAAGCAGAGATTTCAGAACAAAGGAAACGTAGTCTTTAGCCATTAGTTCTTCAAGCTTCAGAAAATAAATGGCCTTGAAGGATTGGACAATGATTGGATCTATATACTAAAACCAAGAAAAAAGTCGCTACCCTCTCTTCATGTCTCAAAGCTTTGATTCATCACCGATCTTCAAATGGTATATATAATTTATTAGAGTCAACAGAATAACATAAGTATTTGTTAATTGCCCTTGCGCTTGTCGTGAGCATTATAACAATTTTATTTTCAAACATAAAGCAAATTTCATCTTATAATATTATAATTTCAAAACGTTTAGTGGCACGTCGTCGTCACACAAACAGAACTTCAATGGTTACAGGTAGATACCAAATCATACGCTTGTTCACAGAGGTTGGCCATTGATCCACCTTTGAAACATGATAAAGCTTTCCTCTGGTTTATACTCTGCTGTGTGCCCACCTCCCTATACTCAGAAAAAAAAAAACCCCACTCTCAATGAAGTTAAAACCACAGTACAGAAGATAATTTTAAAAAAAATATTTGTAAAAGAGAAGTAGTGAAGACTTGCTTTGATAGTAGCAAATGTCATTTGATTTTCGTAAGTTTTTGTATATCTGCCAAGAAGAAGAAGCAAGATTGATCTTCAGTTGACTCTCTAATAAAAACATATAAGCAAGAATATCTGTATAATACCCAGCGTGTTTATTGTTGATCATCCATGGCCTCCAGTCATCGATTACAGAATAGTTGAGAGATCTTATCCAAGCTTGAGTTCCAAGGTAAGGTATTCCTAGATCGTGATCACCACTGTTCAAACAACACCGCACAAAGTTTACATAAAGCTTTGAGTCTTGGTGGGATATAAGAAGTTAAAACTATGACCTGAAGATGAGAGAACGATAGCCACTGATGCTGTTAGCCATATGGTAAGGAACACTACTTATAATGTCTTTAGTGTAAGGAATATCGAATTTACATCGTACCCATTTCCCTATACTCCCCTGCAATCATAGACCCCCTCTTACACACTTTCTTTACCAAAAACCTTCAAATGAAAATTAACTTACCTACATACCTTATAGATTTGAAGAGCTTTGCGTACGCTTTCGTCATTGGCCCAGTAGCTAGATAGCAAATACCTATAGATCTGCAAAAGCAACCTTGTATATATATAAATATACTATGTTCCCTCGATGGTTTGAGGCTAAAACGAAGGGTTAAGATATGTATTACTTACATAGCAATCTGGAGTTTCAGTTTCGCACAATGGTTCTGATATAAGAAACAGGTTTACAGTCTCTGTACACTATTTAGAAACCACAAATGGTCTGAACTGAGTGATGATCTTTTACTAAGCAGACACAACATCAACTGAAACCATCACGATTGTGTGTACCTTGTTAAATTCTTCAATGAGTTTCAAGCATTCTGTGTTTTCTGGATCAACATATGCATATTTTCCTTTGCAGATTCTCTTCAGCGACTGCAAAATGAAAAATAATTGAACTGCATTGTTGGCACAAGAATCAAACGCAAACTTTTATAACTCATACCTCGTAGAGCTCATCAGATATCAGTGCCATTTCACGAGCAAATGGAATGCGGTTGTTCCAATCAATTTCGAAGTCTGTTACCGGGTTACCGAGTACATAACCCTGTTGTTGATAACTATGAGTTTTTAAATGCTTTGGCATATCTCATACAAGATGCAACAAATATTTATGAACCTGAAGATTTATTGGAGGCTTGCAGCATTGATTCTTGCCTGCATCATCCATCATGTTCCCTCTGTTATAAATTATTGACTGAGAAAGGAGCTTGAGGATTGATATCACAAAACCAATACATACCTTTAGAGATTACTTGAACGACAGCAGGAACAACCATACCGGAATAAGAATCCCCGCCGACATAGAAAGAGTTGGGAATAAACTCTTCATGCTTAGCTAGCCACTGCACAACAACCATGAAAAGGAAAGAAGCTTCTAAATTGTATGCATAAAGAATGGTTGTTACTTTGTTAAGTTTGACTTCATATTTCTGAACCCTAACACATTTCAAGAGACATTTATGTTTCTCATTAGTTTACCTTTTGAAGAAACTCATGGATCCGTCTGGCCTCTCCTGAATCACTAGGTGTATCAACAAGTTGAGTTGCGAAGGAGAAGCCAGTTCCAACAGGCTGATCCAAGTATATAATGCTCGTAGTCTGAGGAAAATGATAAATAATTGGTCAACGTGTATTGACAGGTCATATAATATTAATCACTTTTTTTGTGTTACCTTAGTCCATGAGTATGTAGTAGAGACTAAAGAAGGTAGGGTTCCATTGTACACCTCAAACTTCATAGTCAGTGGCCCTGCCCATCATATACATATATATAGAATTAATACAAGTAATCATAGACGCATGAGTTTATCAATGTTTGAGATTTCACCATTCTCAAAAAGAAGACCATGGATGGAAGAGCAGCCAGGTCCTCCACTTAGCCAGAGAAGAAGAGGGTCTTCTTCAGGGTTCCTCTCAGACTTGATGAAGTAGTAGAACAATTGAACTTCCTCCTCCTCACCAACACCAATGTAACTTCATTAACAAGAAACAGTAACCTACTTAGATTTCAACACGGATTAAATTAGTCACAACATGGAAAGAAAACAAACCCTGTTTCAAGCTCAAAGGGAAGAGGGCCTTCAAAACCAGGAAGAAACTTGACGATAGAGGAAGAATCAGCATCATGAATCAACAATACAAGTTGAAAAAGCAGAAGCAGAGATTTCAGAACAGAGGAAGAAGCGTAGTCCTTAGCCATTCGTTGTTCAGTTTCAGAAAGTCAATGGCCACTAATGTCTGTACACATGACTGGATCTTTATAATCTTCATATTTTATTATATCTGCCTTCTTCACCAAATCTAAAATTACTACTTAATTGTCCTGCGGTTTCCACGAGCATAATAATCATTCATTCAAGATAAACTTATTTTTTTATAATTTATAAAGTCTAACTCCAACATGTTTAGTGGTACGTCAACCATCATACGCTGTAAACAAAACAAAGCTCAATGGCTAACAAGACTGGTTAAGCGAAGAAACATCAGCGAGGCATCTATTCGACTTCTTCTCAATAACGTAAAGCACTACTCTACGGCTACGATAATCAGGATGCCATTGTGTTTGTTCCACACGCCCTATCGCAAAATCTTTCAGCGCAGACTCTAAGAAATACTCAAGAACAGCATCTGACATAAAAAAGGGATAGCAGCAAAATTAGACACTGTGTTCTTATTATTGTGTAATGTGAGTGAAAGCACACAAAGTGAGTAAGACCGATACCATTACGTAGTTCTCCTGATAGGAAGATTGTAGTTTGATCGCCGCAAAGTTGGACAAGCGTTTGGATCAAATGGTGAACAGCTTCTTCGCTGTAGATAACATCTGAGCCTAAGACTAAGACAGTAAAAGGTGTGAAATGGTGTGTAGTGTGTACAAAGCAAAAGTGGATGAGATGAAAACGAGATCAATACTGTACCATAATCAGGGAATGGTTCAATCAAATCTGGATCAGGGTCATCTCCCCATACAAGTTCCTCCACAACAGCAGACCCCCTTGTGTTCCCACGTTGCAAATTAGTATCGACGTTCTTCTTGAGTAGCCTCAGTCTATCAGGGAGATCAGTGAGGACAACATCGCCTCCCAAAAGTGCTGCGACACAACTGAAAAGAACAAACTAACTTAATGTTCACAACAGTCTTGGTGAAGTTAAATCAGGGAAGAGAAAGATTTGCACATTTTGGCTCACCCAACTAAGCCACAACCAGAACCAAGCTCAACGATTTTCTTGCCTTCAAGAGAAAGATCTTTACAATCAACAGAATGTTCCAAGAACTTCCCTAACACCACTCCACTGTCCCACATCACTGACCCCGTTACTCCAGGCGTGTTCTATGCATTATACAACAACACACATGAGATAGTTCAAACACGTTTCATGATCAATGCAACAAGAATCAAGCTCTTCTACAACCCCCACCACATTACAATACAGGGATCAACATAGATCCAGACAACCGCAAAACTGATCATGATAAACCCTAAAGTTCACATCTTTTGTTTTGACTAAATAAAGTTAACATCTTTATGCTAATAATCTCTAAAGCAAAGGAGTTACCAGTGAACATGGCGACACAATCAAACAAACAAACAAAAACATCATCTGCTACAAAACCCCCACGTTAAAATATAAAACCCTAAAGTTCACAACTTTATGCTAATAATCTCTTAAGCTAAAGGAGGTTACCAGTGAACATGGAGACTGGAGGATAGAGAGTGAGTGACCACAAGCGTCGAGACGAAGCTCAAGAGAAGACTGAGAAACTAAGGTGTTTGGAGTAAACGAAGTTGGCCCTTGGATTGCCCATATGATCATTATCTCCGCCGCCGCCAAATCAGAATCAGATTCCGATTCCGATTCAGAACCAAAACCACCGACGGCTATCACATCTCCGCCGTAACCACTCATACGTCGTATCTCCTCTACTGTATCTTCTCCTTTACTTGCTTCCTCCTCGCCCATTTTCCGAGTTCCCCCACACGCGCCGCCGAATTGACTCTAGGGAGTTTAGGAGACGAACCAAGGGCATTAAATCGAAATACAACATAGTTTTGGGGTTATTAACAATTAACTAATATTCTCACGTTTTCTCCTATTCACCACAAAGGTTTAGAAAAGATCTAATTAACCCAAATAATCAAGCAAGCTTCTATGCTATGGAGGGGATATTAATCAACAATATTATACAGTAACCATATGTTTTTAATCATATAAAACGTTGGTTAGATCACCAACTTAGTATTGTCACAAGCATCATCAATCTCTAAACCCACATTGATACACCCAACAGAGGAGGGAGATAATGGAATAATACATAAGCTTGTAAGCATCTTCCTCTTCTTGAGTATGAAGCAAGCTATTCTCTTTATCTTTCTCTTTACCACCAGTGCTTGCAAAGCTCTTCTTGAGTTGCACAGAATGGTTGATTCTCCACACTTTTTGGTTCAGGGCATAACCAAACCGTAGAATCAAACTCGAGGTTTAGACTAGTTAAGAGCTGGACAAGCTTGGTTTTGGTGACGCGTGGAGTGGAAGTTACTTTGACACTTCTTCATTGATCAGAAATTTCATTTTTGTACGAAATAAAACAAAACAGAAGCATGATCCTTGTAACACACAAGACAAACTGATCACACAAGGAGGCGAACCACACCACTTTTTAACTCCCAACCAACTACTCTGTACACTAAACACATAGTACCGACGACCGAACTCTCTTCCCCTATTCATCATGTAAATTTGTGCTTCTGACATCAGAAGCTCTTACTGACATAAAATGGCAACCGTATGGTTTAGGAAACCATCTTCATTCGATTTTCTGTTTCAAAATCCAACACACCCGTCAGGTTTCAACAATTACAACAAGTGCAGGGCTCGATTACAAAAGCTATATTGAATCCTAAAGCTAAACTCTTGTAAGCTTTCGACACAAATATTGGAGACGACAAAACAAAACACGCGACAAGACTACAAGAAGAAAAGAAACCTATTCAAGGTCTTCACCACTCTTCTCAGTCTTCTTCATCTGAAGACTCGTATGATAATCCCAACAAGTTTTTCAAAGCATTTTGATTTTGATCTTGACCTTTCCCATTGCTTTCTGCTGCTTTACCTCCAGGTTGCTCCTCTGGGTTGTCCAGTTTCTTCAACACAGTATCAGCTTCTTCGTTCTGCTTATCTCTTTGAACCTTTGCTTCTGTTGGAGCGCTTCTTTTAGGAGGTGATAAGCTTGCACTTGGGGCCGTAGAGAGTTTTGGGCGCTTTGGTTTAACCTCAACAACCTTTCTCAGCAAATCTTGCTGCCTACACATTGGAAAACACACAAATGACAATCCATTTCATGGTGTGAATAGGGAGGAAGTTGCTACCTGATACCACTCTTTGGTTTGGGCTCAACACGAAGTGGCAAAGGAACAGGTGCTGGAGATGAATCAGCCTGGGTTGCAGCTTTGTAATCCATGGTCAAGAAAGATCCAAAAAAAAAAAACAAAAGTTCTAAGAAGGCATATTATACTAGTGAATAAAACCATTATCAGAGTAACATAAAAGAAAGGATATTTTAAAGGCAGCAAAAGCACGTTTCTCAGTACGTTTGAGAAGACGCTCAGCATCCTCCTCTGCTTCCATCTGCTCTTTAAGATAAAGTAAATCGTCGCTGTCCAAAGCTACACATAGAAAGTCATAATCAAAATAATCTGAATAAGATAAAGAAAAGAAAAAAGAGAGAAACTTTGTACCGCCTCGTCCATGAAGATAGCCTCCACGCTCACCAGCAACATCTTGCATCTAAATGCAATAAACCAACAAAAATGTGGGCAGGGGCCATTATCCCTGCCGGGGCATGTTATCAGAAAAGTCTCTTCCCGAAAATAGAATTAAAACCACTTCACATACATCAAATAACCAACAGTTCTACTAAAGAGATCAGCTCTGTATTACTTTCCTACTTATATCAAATAACTGTTATAAGAAAGAGTAACAGTTAACTCAAAGCTCTTAATGCAACACAATTTGTGCACAAACAGAGGAGGAGAGGGCGAGGGGGCGCTAACCTTTGCAACCATACGTTGGAAGGTGACGTCTTCATCATCTATCTTACCTCCCTTCCCTGATTTCTTATCTGCAATTAAAAAGTAAACAGAGCTGAATCAATCGAGAAACCCTTACAATGGTGAAATTGACCATAGAAACAATGTTTGATTCGATTACCTTTAGGATCGGAGAGATTTGTGTATTCTTTCACTTCCCTTCCTGACATCGTCTTCGATTCTACTTTAGGGTGAAGTAAGTCTTGAGAAGAAGATTAGGGTTCCTACGTTTTCCCAGGGACGAGAGGATGACGATCGAACAAGGCTGAAATCGATGGATCATAAGTGTAACTGATTTTTGGTTGTATCTTCTCCATTGGGGTTTAATTGTTAGCCCATCTTCAGGCCCAGTATAACTCAGCCCAATAGTCACTTTTGTTTTGATAAGAAAAATAATAGAGTATTTCGGGATAAATATTTAAATGAATAATAAGGATCATTATTAGGGAATACTGAACAAACATATGATCTTGGTTAACTAATGTCTGTATATCAGAATCAGAAGTAGGTGTTTTGCCCGCTCATGCGGGCATAGTCATATTGAAAATATTGATATTATACTTACTATTAAAACGTGTAAAATTACATTGAAAATAAAATTATTAGAATTTACAAAATTTAATTTTTGTTTGTACATTTACTTATTTCTTATTTATTTTTATATCTAAAACATGTTTTCGGATAACAACCAAGTATATGTAAGAATTATCTTTTAAAAAAGAAATATAATTTTGATAATTTTATTTATTAATTTATAGTTATCCAATATAACATATAATATAAAGTTATATTATTAATTGATAATTAGTTTTTAATTTAAATGATTTAATAATATTATATATAAAAATTCATTAAGGGTAATATTGATATTAATCATTCTAATGTCTCATTTTCGAACCCATAAAACCATTTATTATTCAGATAAATGGAAAATAAATCTTATATCTTTTAACATAGTATAAGTATTGTAGAACCGTTAAACTAGATTTTTATATTACTGCTAAGTGTAACTTGAAGCTCAGTATAGCAGTAAGAAATTTATTTCATGTAGTCCCCATTCACTCTTAGTTATGTATCTAATCAATTTTGTATTCATGAAGTCATTATGAGCAAACACACCTAAATTGTATGATTCAATAATTAACGGTCTGTTAATTATAGTTTCAATCATTCACTTTAGATACCACAATAATTATCTAATTCAATTTTTGTTTGAACTATTAGAAAAAAAAAAGAAAAGAAGTCTAGTACTCTTAGACTTGGTTAACGTCAAGTACCCTCCTTTATTGGCATGTGACTTAAGTTAGACAGAAAGTACATTTACTATATACAGATGAATTATCACGATTTATAATCTTGCTATGGATCAACCCTACAAGGAAACAAGTGTTGACAATTAAATCACAAGTTGAATCACATAAACTAAAAACCAAGCTTTTGCAAAGAAACATGTATTTGATAATAATAATAATAAAAAAAAAAAGAGGAAATCTATCAAAAACAAAACCACACGTTGGACATTTTTGTTTTGGTCTGCGACGTGACATGAATCTTCACCACATGTTTGATCATTAAAAGTGCAATTATTAGATTTTGGAACCAATGACCAGAGTGTGATGGGTTCATCTGTCCGTACGAATACAAATTTATTTTTACATTACAAATCTTTTCTTCTAACTTTCGAAAAGTCATCAACTTGTCAGATCTCATTTCATCACTAAACCTCTCTCTCTACACCCATAACAAGCATTTAGATCAATCACCACATGCAATGTGATAAAAAAGAGGAAGGTTCAAGAAACAGTTGAAGCGGAAACTGCAGAACACATACCCTTTAATGGAAGAGATTAACAAAAACAAAAACAAGTAAAAAAGAAACAAAACATTGCGATAGAAGTCAATACCCGAACCATACAAAGAAAGTCTCTAGTTGCATGGTGCGTTCTTGACTTCCAGTTTCTTACCAAAAACGATAATAATAGTAAAAAGAAAAAAAAAGAGAATCTAAAAATCTCATTAAAAGAACAACAAATGAAGAGAGATGATGAGGAAGGAGAGTAAGAATCCAGCTGGTTGTTTAAATGAGGTTTTGTCCAAGAACAGAAAGCAGTAGCAGAACAATGTGAAGTTAATGTGCTTCCTTCTCTCTCTCTCTCTTTGGCATTGAAGACAACGAAGAAGAGTTTTAATTCTCTTCTCTGTTCCATCATTGAAGAGAAAGAGACACTCAGAGCTTTTAATGGTTGTTGTATCAAACTGTAGTTGAAGCACTAGGACAGTTGTTCAACCCCGTTTTAATTTGGTGCACTGTGGTTCCAATCAGGTTATTAACCGTCTCCACAGACTCCATATTCAGCTTAGCCGACGGTAAGTTGCTAACCATTATCTGAAATCCAACCGTTATCAGTGATCCTCCTCCTCCAAAGCCGCTTGATGATGACCGTCCTGAGCTAGTTGAGGCTCCTCCTCCTTGCTCAGCACTTGAGCTGTTGTGGTTTCCGTCTGGTGAGATTGAGAAACCTGAGGATAAGAGGGGAATGTATGAGGTATCATCACCGCTCATTGCAATGTTCAGTGCTGATAAATCCACTGGACTGTAGACTACTAGTGCCCCTGATGAGTCTATTGAGCTTTCTTGTAGAATCAACATGTTGTTACTCTGTGATGCATTCGATGCCTAATTGCAAAAGATTAAAACAAACTTCATCAGCCAAGAAACTGAGCAACTTCTTTGATTAATTTTGAGAAAGAAGTTGAGTCTTACACGTAGAACAGATATGCAACATCCAGGATGTGATCCATTTGCGATGTGAGCAACTTCTTGCACAGCGTTTCCATTTGAAAGAACATCCCACTGAAAAAGGCAAAGCAATATTACATTTTGATGACTCTTTTACTTATGGAGTTGTGTTTACCTGAGGACGTGTTCTTTCGTCTTTGAGGAAGTTGAAGACGTTTTGAGGAGAGTTTGGGAGCCAGAAAGTGGTAGCTGCACAGAGGATAGTGCCGTTTGGTTCAGGGCTCTTATGTGCAGTCACACGAACACCAACCTCGTTCAGCTCGGCTACAACTGTTGAGAGAGTGTTGTTAGATCTGCTGACACTTATACAGTAGTTGCTAACCATTCTATGAGCAAGTCTCATCATGCTTCTCTTCCCTTCAGGCGATGGAATCACTGTAACTCAAAAAAACGTTTATTGTATAAAGCATTCAGAAATTAGATTAGAAATGGCAACTTCTGTTGATTCATTCAACTTACCTCCACCTAGGGATGAAGCTGCTGGTGTCAATAGAGACGCAAATCTTTCACACATTCTCTGGAGAGTAGTAACCCACCGTTCAGCTCCAAAAGCAATCCCTTTGTGAACTATCTCTCTGTATAGCTCATGGATTGGTTCTTTTTCTTCGGTTTCAGTATGCTCAACCCAAGTAACCTGTTACAAATCATAAACTTGAGGGAGATGCTAAGATGAATGATAATTTAGTAGAAAGTGAAAAAGGACAAACTCTAACCTTGGAATATCCATTAGGCATGTCTTGAATCAAGCATCCAGATGGAAACCTATATGAGTGAGATTGAGACACAAACTGAGGAAGATGATATGAGACATTCACAACTATCCAGCTTCCTTGTTCTATCTGCTGACAATAGCGTAGCTCGCAGAACTCACGTGTTGCTACTAATGGAGAAAGAACTTCCATCTCTTCATACATCTACATGAACAAGCCAAAGTAAAGTTATGAGGAAACTAGTAACGCTAATGATGAATCACAAATTAAAGGAGGATTACTATCAGTTTTACCAAATGCAATGCACCCTCATAGGTACCTCCCATTCCTGAAGAAACCACTGTAAGTGTTTTAGAAGCTGCAACTATTGAAGGAAACAACTCTGCCCACTTGCCCTGCAAATACAAATAGACAAATGTTTTATCGCAAATGCTGCCACCAATTGTGAAAGATGATGAGGATGGATGTCTCAGCTAGCTTACACTATCCATAAACATGTCGACAAGTGACATAGCATTCATGAAAACAATCCCAGAGGACCTAGACGCTTCAATTCTAAGGTGATGGTTCTTCCCTCGGTTACTTGAACTTGGAAAAACATTCTCATAGCTTCCAAGATTGAGAACGTCTCTCCCACCATCTCCTCTAGTCCATAAAGGTTCGTTTGTGTGAACAAGCCTGAGCAACTCTTCCATCGCATTCATAGCAATGTCGTTCATAATAGGCTTATCCATGTCAGATACAGCAAAGTTACTACTAGACTGAGAAGGCAGTGACATAGAGCTTCCTGGAAGAAGATCGAAATCCAGTGAAGGACCAGTTAAACTAGTCATTGACAGATCCAACGGTGAGATGTGCATTGGATGTAGTGTTGAGAGATGAGATGAGATTGGTCTTCCCATGTACTTTGATGCAACGGTTGACATTCTTTCAAGCTGTTGCAATAAAAAAGATCAGATTGGAAATGAGAAGACAAGGCTTTGAAATGAAGACAAAACATGAACAAACCTCTTCTCTGAGATGTGCATTTTCCATGCGAAGCTTTTGCTCATCTAAGTAAGGATCTTCACTAACGGGAGGACCTCCACAGTTTGGGCATATAGCATGCTTGAGAGCTTCTCTTATGGCTATGTTCTCGCATCGTATCTTATCGTTCTCTGCTTTTAGCGCACTGTTATCTGCTCTCTCATGTTGTGCCTACACAAGAACAGGAATCAAAATCTACTCTGACAATATTTAAACACAAGAGAGAAAGAGACAAAAGAGACAGAACCTTAAGCTGAGTTCTTCTGTTCTGGAACCAAAACTTGATCTGTCTAGGAGCCAAACCCAACTCTTTGCTAAGTAGATTCCTCTGCTTATCATCTGGATGAGGACACTCTCTAAAACTCCTACAAACATTCAAACCATTATAACTGTCAGGAAAAAAAAAAAAAAGAACATTCTCAGACCAAAACACAAAACTAAAGGGAAGTACTAACGATTCAAGGCGTTGAATCTGTTGAGCAGTATGACGATGGTAACGTTTCTTCTTCTTATCAGTTTCAGAGCCGTCACCGTGACGTTGGCTACTACTACCACCACCACCACCGTCTCCACCTCCGCCACCACCACTCCCACTTCCGACAACAAAACTCATCCCTTTTCTTTTTTTTTAATTTTTAAAAAAAACGTCCAGACAAAAAGAAGAGAACAGTAAAGACTCTTTTTCTTTTTACTAAGTATTCACTCAACCATAAACTGTTAATGGTCCATTTACACCACTGTCGCCATTAACGCAGACCCACTAGACTCAGAGAGAAAAAATACAAAGAAAGTTTTAAACTTTTTATTTGCACCCACAAGAAGGGATATAGAGAGAGAGAGAGGGGTTAGTAGAGAAATGAAACGGAAGAGAATCTGAAAAGGGCGATGATTACGGGAGGTGAAAGGGTTTTAATTTAGGCAACAAATCAATTGATAACACAAAAAGATTGAATTTTTCTCTAAAATTCAGCTAAAAATAGGAGAAAAATACTCTGTTTTTTTATCCCGTAATAATGTCACACCCTAGAAACAGAGGAGGGTGATGAAACTCTATTAGCTCTAAAGCTTTTTCACATCAAAGCCGCCATTAAGTGATTTCTTTTCACCTCTCCTAACTCTTTTTTTTTCCTTCTTTTTCACATTCATTACAGATTCCTAAATCTCTCCCTCTCTCTAAGTCTCTCTCTCTAGAAAGTGCGTAACTGATGGGTTTTTAATGGGGAAAGAGAGAGAGAGAGAGGGGGTTTTAAAGTCTCTTGCTTCTTTCCATTACTGCTAAGTAGTACTCTCACCATACTCGGGAAGGGAGAGAGAGATAGGACCGAACCAACCTTCTTGTTTTTTCTCTCTCTCCACAACTAACTCTTTCTCTCTCCTCGTGTTTTTTGAAAGAGATGGGTTTGTCTCCGGGGCGGGAAGGTTAATCCACGGCGGTTAGATAAGAAGCTAAGGGGACTTTATCCACTTTCTCCGGCTAGTTTTACTCACGTCTGAAAAAAAAAGCTTAAAACTTTTATTGGGGTTTTCTGCAGTTTTCATATTCTTCTCTTTTAGACAATAAAATCACATTTACATTTCCTCTTATTTAATATTAAAAGGAAATAATATTTACAATTCTTATAATTTTTAATCTATATTAAATGTAGTAGTATAAGATTTAAATAGTTTTGTACAAATATTTATTTGTTTTTTTTTTCAAAGTGTGACTTGTTGTCGTATAAATAATTAAATGTAGTGATTAGTGAACAAAAATCAAACCATTAAACTGGAAATTAAAAAAAAAAGGAAAAATGTATTTTTATTTACTATCGTGTCATAATTTAGACAAAATTGCTAATCATAAAGATTATTTACTGAATACAATGAATGCGGTGAACATTGCAATAATTTATGGGGTTTTTTTCTGTTTAAGATGGCTATTATTCATGTCTTACCTGATTTAATCATATCTTTATTTAGCAAGATCAATTGTTATTCAATACCAGTTTCTAATTATTACAGTTTTTTAATTGTCATATTTATTATTTCTATTTATTTTATGTGTGTGTTTATCGTTTAAAGTTGAATTATTATATCCATAGAAATCATGAAAACAATTAGTTTCTACAATCTTTGGAAAACGCCTTTCATAAATCTACCTCCTAAAACATAAAAATATCGTTGAATGGTATTAAAAATCATTTTGACAATAAGTAAAGTGATATACAATTATATTGACTATATAAAATTAGTGATGTTCAATATTTGTATTTCGGTTATGGAGAAAATGTGACTTACTCTAATAAACATATTTAGATTAACATTTTCATACTATGTTATTTGTTACTCCATCCATTTATAAAAACATCACATTAACATTTTCACACATATTAAAAATGATTAAAATATATTTATATTCTTATTAATTAAATATATTTAACCAATAATATTTAAGATATATAAAATTAATGTTTTTATAATTAATACTAAATTCAAAATTACATCGAATTCTAAAAATAACATTTTTGTTTAACAATAAAAAATATATTGAAATGACACTTCAACATATTTAAAGAATTGTTATTTAATAATCGAAAATAGCTTTTAGAAACAACTCTAGTTGCTGCGTGATATTTTAAGGATATTTTAAACCATAAAATAGCTGAAAACTATAGTAGTTCATTTTTATGAAGTTCCCAAAGATCACAGCAAATATCGATTCGAATTGTGTATCAAAAAGTCAAACGTGTTCCACTATATACATTGAAAATGGAAAACTGTGGAAGAAAGAAATATGGTTGATAGGGCTGGGCATTTTATCCGTTATATTTGATTCGATTCGTTATTCGTTTCGATTCGATCCGAAAATTCCGGATATCCGTAAG